CTCCCAGCAAGCATAAGAAATATTGCCGGAACAACCGTAGACATTTTCAAGAGGAAACTAGATTTATTCCTCCAAGGAGTGCCGGACCAAATGGGCTGTGGTGGGTATGTGGGCCTGCGGGCCGCTCCAAGCAACAGCCTGGTGGACCAAACTCTCACAAGTCGAGCCTGGCCTCGGGCCGGGCTTGGGGAGTAGAAGAACTCCCAGAACCCCATCAACCAGGTATCAACCAGGGCACTAGTTGTACCCTCATGCACTGTTGAGGGGGACTAGTTGTACCCACATGCACTGTTGAGGGGCACTAGTTGTACCCTCATGCACTGTTGAGGGGGACTAGTTGTACCCACATGCACTGTTGAGGGGCACTAGTTGTACCCTCATGCACTGTTGAGGGGCACTAGTTGTACCCTCATGTACCGTTGAGGGGCACTAGTTGTACCCTCATGTACTGTTGAGGGGCACTAGTTGTACCCTCATGTACTGTTGAGGGGCACTAGTTGTACTCACATCGACTGTTGAGGGGCACTAGTTGTACTCACATCGACTGTTGAGGGGCACTAGTTGTACCCACATGCACTGTTGAGGGGCACTAGTTGTACCCACATGCACTGTTGAGGGGCACTAGTTGTACCCATATGCACTGTTGAAGGGCACTTGTACCAACATGCACTGTTGAAGGGCACTTGTACCAACATGCACTGTTGAGAGGCACTCCACTGTTAATGGAGAACCACAGCCTCCACGGCCGGGGGCACCGGACCACACACCGTAGGAGACATCTCGCCGCGGACATCCAAAGGGACAGGAGACGACGCATGCAGGGACGGAGCAGGCAGGGGGCGGCCGAGATGGGGCGGGCTGGGGTTGCAGGGGTAGGGACGTCGGAGGCGGGGAAGCCGGCGGCTGGGCGGGGCCGCCCCAAAGCCCACGTCAACATCGACACCACCACCCAACACTGGGGCAGAAGCCGGCAAGAAATCATCACACAGTCCAGCACTTGGAGACAGGCCCAGGGCCGACAGCGGGGTAAAATCTTCCTCCCGTAAGAGGTTAACAGGTATGACCCGGCGCTCATCACACTCCGCAAGGTTGTGCCGCATGTAAAACACGAATTGGGAACCCCAACAGCATGATGGAGGACGGTACAGGATCCCTGAGACACCATGGCGAGAGTGCGGCCCCTTCCATCTTCCAGTAGCGATGGCATTCATCCTTACTTGTAGGACCTGCCCAAACCGGGCAAAGTATCGACGTAGAAGATCCTCAGGGAATTTAAAAGGTATCCCATGCACTGCTACATACGTCGTGGCTCCACAACGGTCAGAGAGGGTCACCGACCCAACATTTCCATGAAGAGTGAAAGAGCGCCCATCATAGCACGTGACGACACCTTGATAAATTGCGGGGGAACCGAACTTGACAATCGCCCACCATCCGGCAAGCATCTGCACCCCACACAGACTCCACAGAGCCACGGAGCATATCAATCAACACCACCTCCACCGCGTGGTAGGGAGCAATCCCAGAGAACTCCAGGCCAATGGAGGCTTGCCTGATGACTGGCAAGTTCTCCCATGATTGCAGACCGTTACAGCCCCAGGGGCCCCTCAGCAGAAACACGGGACACAAGCCACGTCAGCACCGACACCCAGGTCCTCACTCCTCGCCGGGTTGACAACAACTCAGGAGAAATGTACTCGAGGAAGCACGTAAAAGAGACGATTATGTTGTTATAGTGTTCAATTATACCATAGGTATTATGGAATGTCCATGTGATGTTTTCTTCTCGTTTCAGAGAAAACTAGATATTGAATAAGTAACTGTGAGTGGGTCGTCTTTGTGATGCCCTGGGTTTACTTATATTGCGATTTCATTCTTATTGTGAATTGTGTTGTGGTGTAATTTTGTGCTTCGTGTTATTAATTAAGCACTGTGAAGTGAAGTGTCAGTTGTTACCGTGTTAAGACTTGTCTCCGTGATAAGAAAATTGTATAATCTTAAATTATGAGAGTTACGCCCTAGCTGCCGTGGGGTGTGGATGTGTTGCCTGACTCCTCCGGTAGTTGGTGGTTGTTTACTGTTTGGTCGGCAGGGGGTGTTGGCATCTCTGCCCTCCCAGCAGTTACCTTCTGGCTGGTGTTGACGTGGCATGCTTGCGATGGGAGGTCATCTTCCCCCTGTTGTGGGAGTGAACTCCGGGGGCCTGGAGTTTATAGGCTGTGCTTGTTACCCTGCAGTTGAGCTTGTCAGATGTGACATGCTCCATGTAACAGTTGATGACGTCTACGGGACTGAGCTTGTAACTTCTCACCAAGTTATTGTAAAGTTTGTGGGCGAGGAGGTGTACCGTGAGTTCCTCCGACAATACAAGGGGCGTTCATTATCGCTGCACGATGGTGCTGGCTCTGTGTCCATCACGGACCATAGTGGTGCCCTGATATGTGAGTGTGCATGGGGAGCCCTTGGAGTTTTCCGAGGACCTGCTCCGGCGTTACTTCCAGTGGTTTGGCACTGTCGTCAGAGTGCGGGGTGAACACGCTGTCTTCAGGGAGGTATAAAGACGTGTTCAAACATCTGTACACTAGGGATGCACCTAAGGTCGGACGTTCCTTCTTCAGTCTGGCTTCTCGGGTACTACGTCAGGGTGTACTATGCCTGGTAATCCTGAACCTGTTTTCGGTGTGGCCTGTTGTGGCTTCCTGGTGCTCTGGGGCTGCTGTCACTCAAGTGAACCTGTTCCGGGAGGGGGATTTCCTGCCGCTCCCTGTAGGGGAGGATTCTGTGGGTGGGGATGTGGGCATCCTGTTGGCTGATGTGACTCCCCCTGCGACACCCGGTGATCCTCCGGGAGTTGCTGTGCCATCAAATGATCTTCCTGCTCCTGTTGCTGTCCCTGCTGCTCCTGTGGACCTTCCGGATGGTCTCTGCGAGTCATCGACGTCTTCATCTTCCTCATCTCCTGCTGCTGCGACTGGCCCTGCACCCGTGCCAGGTGTCCCGGCTGTGCTGGGTGCTTGGGAGGCTGCGGTGCAATCTGGTGTGTGCGGCCCAGTTCCTCGTGTGGTTGAAGCTGCTGCCTTTCTCTGACGGGCGTCGGTTTACCCAGCTTGTGAGGCACGTGGTTTTGGGTCCGCCTCCGGCTCTGAGGATGTGCGGCCGGAGCCCAAGCGTTCCTGGCGTTCTTCTACTGCCTGGGCTGATGTGGGGAATTTCGACGCCGGTGGGTCTTCGGGCAATGACGTGGTGGTTCCGGGTGCTTCGTGCTCTACGTCAATGGTGGTTGCTGACGTCCATGTGCCTGCTGATGATGATGTTTGTGCATATGATTTACCTCCTATTCTTTCTTCTGCAGAAGGTTCTCCGCAGTGAGGGTGGTCACTCCTATGAACGTGGGTGGTGAGGGTGCTGGTGTGAGCCATGACCTCGTGCTGGTGTTGATGAAGGATGCCCGGCGTGGGGGGTCCCTGCCGGTGCAACGTCCGGTGGTTGACACGGGGCTCTGTGAGGCAGCCGAAGTGCCTCCCAGTGCACTGCCTATTGCCCGGCCCGATGGGAACAAGCCCCCTTCCTCTCGTCTTGGCCTCTGGCGTGGTGTATGATGATAATAACCCCTTTCTGTTTGTCATTGTTGACTGCGTACATCCTGTTCCATGGAGCCCTTCTTCCGTCTGGGTTCCGTGGGCCCGGTGTTTTGTTGTGGGTATGCTAGAGTTAATGCCTAATGTTCGTACGCTTTATAGTAAACTGGTTCCGGATAACATCTTGTTGCTTTGGGAGGCGTATTGTGTTCATTTCCCGGTGGTGGAGTGACCAGATAAGTATGAGCAGTTTGAGTAGTCTGTGTGCTTGAATGACTACGTATTTTGTGTTAATATCTACTCTATAAGTTTTTAGGTTAGGGTTAATTTATGTTGGGTTAGGTTACGTTTCTTTATCTTTGTTTATGTTAATATAGTATAATATTGTCCAAAATGTTAAATATAGAATTGGAAAACTATTTAAGTGTACCTTTGCATTTAATTCACAGAAATGCAAATTCTTCAAACCGTTTGAAAGAAAACGTTTTCATCTGACACTTTTCATATTTTAAACTGACACTATATAATATATAAAGTTATAACCTGAAGTTAATCTTTGTTTAAGACACAGTTTCACTTGCTAGTATTCAAGTAGACTATTACTGGAATCATAATTTGCTTTCAGACCATCACAAATATTAGATATCTATCCACGTAGTTTGACAGGGCGGTGTGTTGCTTGTTGTAATGGCTTTGCTCGAGGACGGGCACCAACCATCAATCAAATTACTCATTGCCAGAATCAATACTATCAATTAATTTCCCCATGGTGTAAGAATTTTACATGATTAACGACTTTCACATGATATAAGACTTTCTCAAGAGATGTAAAACGTTTCTTGGAACGATTTTGAACAGTGGTACATATTCGTAACACTTTTATCACTTTCATGAAAATTATCAATAAAATTATCATGTTATGGGTAATTGTTCCAGTGAGCAGACAATTTGCTGGGCTACATCCCTCTGGCTTTGTCCCAAGTGAGCCCAGGTTTCTTCCTGGGATCACTTATCCCACATTGTTCCCGAATTATTCCCGGTTATCACATTCCTCCGGCAGTTGGAGGAGTAGCTGTGTATCACTGAAAGCCTTGAACAGGATAGCATGAGAAATATTAAGTTTCTCAACTCATTTCTTGGACTGGTTGGTACAGCAACGGCCTCGCTTATTACAAGTCAGCGTTCGATCCCCCCATGGTCAAAGGGCTAGGTAACGTTCCTTCCCACCGTCCTACCCAGCGTCCTTGTCCTCATATCCAAACTTATTTTCCTAATATCTCATACAAGTTCTATACTGTCATATTTGCTTAGCGGTTTCTCACCTCATTTGCTGCTGGAAATCTATATGTCCGGCGCAGACTCAAGTAATTAACTTGCTCTTCAACCAAGAACTACTGCACAAAGACTCGTTAATTATCTTACCTGGGTATATTGAAGTATCATCATCCTCTGTCGTAATGTCGGTCGAGGGAGTGAAGGAGTAGGTGGCAGGAGTGATATTGGAAACGGAAGAGGTCTCAGGGGTGGTCAAGCTAGTGGAATTTGAGGAAGTAAAAGTGTTTGAGTCAACTAAGGAGACTGAGGAAGAGTCTGTGGGTGTTGTGTCTGTGTCACTACTAGGAGACGGTGTGGTGTCGGAAGAAAATGAGCTCGTTTCTGTGGCATATAGGTCAGTGGAGGTAAAAAGTACACTAGAGTCGGTAGGAAATGGGTTAGTGGAGGTAGAAAGTTCCCTAGAGTCGGGAGGAAAGTCAGTAGAGTCAGTAGTCAATTCGATGGAGGTGGTAGCGACATCTAAGCAAGTGCTTAATTCACTGAAAATAAGAAATACCATCGTTTATTACTATTCCAGGACACTATTTTTCTGCGGTATTAAAAGTACAAAGATCATGAGTCATGCTATTAGTCAAATTAACACACGCTAAGTGTTCCTTATTTCTATCTTAATACAATTATTTGAAAATATTTCAATGCACTACAATCTTCACAACCTTTTTTTTCTTTTTTTTTTTAGTTTTGCATAGCTAAAGTTCACAAATTATTGGCAAACAATTTCTCTCCATCGAGAGTTCCTTTATTTCTCTTTCTATGTTAATTAGTTCTTAGTTTTGTCTCAATGCCTTAACTGCTATTTGGTCGTGTTTGCCACCTTAAGCGATGAAACATACTAATTGTTCATGTAATAATAGCTGCCAAACTCGTTTGTTTAACATAATTACTATTAACTAGTCATTTCCACATTCTAACTGCTGTGGGGATTCGCTCGCTGGCCGCCAGGGGGTCAAGACGTGCTCACTTGACCTGCCAGTTGTTGCGTGGTGTTGAGAGGGGGCGGGTGCGGTTTTGAGGTGCGGTGTGCCCGCTGGCCGGGGACCCGGTTGGCGGTATAGTTGTTGGTGAGGATACCCGCGTTCGGCGGGTTGACAAGGTGCGCTTGGATTTTTCTGGTGCTGTGGACTGGCCCATTGTGGAGGTAGTGTTGTTGGATGTGCTCTGTGTCGACGTCCCTGATTTGTTGGGGCTGGAAAAGCTCTCGCCTACCTGAATGGCGGTGTCCTTCGCCAAGACATTGTTTTACCGGGAGTTTGTGGCACGCTGCGATGACCGCACTCTTACTATTCCTGATTCGGTTGTGACCGTGGAGATTTCGGATCCCTGGAGGCCCTTGAAATATGTGAGTGTTCACATGGTGCAGGTGTCTTTCCCCGTGGACGAGCTGCGGTCGGTATTTACGCGGTATGGTGTGGTGGCGAACCACCGATTCAACACTTTGAGTGCGGGCCGGCTGAGAGGGGTCCGTATGGGTGCTCGTAAGCTCGTCATGCGGGTCACAACCCCTATTCCGTCCAGGTTTGTGTATCGTGGGCTCTCTGTCCGGATCTTTTATCAGGGCCAGACAAGGACCTGTTTCCGGTGTGGTGCTGAGGGCCACGTGGCAGCCGGCTGTGACGCTCCTCGTGCTGAGGCCCCTTCGGTTTTCCTGGAGGGTGACTTTCCCTGCTTGTCTGAGCGTGGGGTTTCCTCGGCGGATCCTCGCTCTGTCCTGGTGTCTGGTGTGGTTCTTGCGGCGGTTTCGGCAGACGTTCCATCTGGCCCTGGTATGTTTGCCCCTCCGGTGAGCTCTGTTGACCTGGAGACTCCTGCTTCGGATCTTCGTCGTTCGGTAGTTGTGGAGGTGCATCCGCGGCCGGTTGATTCCGTGGGGGCCCTGGATGCTACTCTAAGGGTGGTGCATGCTTCTCCTGCCGGAGACCATCTGTTTCCCGTGGCTGTCGGGGTTGTGGTGGGTGAGCCCTCCCCCCTGCCCTCTGCCTCATTGCCTTGGGCGGTTTCCTCGCTCCCTTTTGCCTCTTCGCCTGCGATAACTCTGTCGTCCGTGCTGGATACCTCACGTGTGATGGAGTGTGCTCTCCCGCCTGCTGTGTCTGATCCTTCTCCGTTTCCGGTATCCGGGCGTTGTAGTGGCTTTTTGCCCCATGCGGTTGAGGCTGCTGTCCTGCGTGATCGTGCTGCCCCGGCTTTGGGGGCCGCATGCCATTGGTTCTACTGGGGCACCGCTTGCTGGGGGTGACAGTTCCAACGATCAGCGGCCTCTTTTTAAGTGCCGTCGCTCGGCTCGGGGTGAGTCGCCTCGCCGGTAGTGCAACCCATTCTCGTACTTTCTTACAGTCAATATTGACTTATTAAATAAGTGCATATGTGACATACTAATTAATTGTGAATATTTTAGTTTACCTTGAAAAGCTTCATAGAAAACACCGACATTACCTAACCTTCTTAGTATGTTAAGATAAACGTCTTATTGCTTCGTAATTACAATTATTACTTGCCCTATACCTATAATAGGTTAAGTAATAATTTAACTTCAACTTATTGCTTCGTAATTACAATTATTACTTAACCTATACCTATAATAGGTTAAGTAATAATTGTAATTACGAAGCAATAAGATGCTTATCTTAACATACTAAGGTGGTCAGGTAAGGTCGGTGTTTTCTATGAAGCTTTTCAAGGTAAACTAAAATATTTACAATAAATTAGTATGTCACATATGCAAATATTTAATAAGTCAATATTGACTATATGAAAGTGCGAGAACGGGTTGAGTTGTGGGCAGAAGAGCGTGATGCGATGGACAATGACGCCGTGGCCGACGCTGTGTTGCCTCCGGTGGTGCCTTTTGTGTTGGACGCTGTTCCTCCTGCTGGTGGCTCCCCTCAGTGGGCAGTTGCCCCTGGTGATAGCGACCTTGTAGTGGTGTTGTCGAAACAGTGTAGTGGAAACTGTGCGGTGGGGGGACTCTGCTCCTATTCCGGTTGGTGGGAGTGCTGGGGCCCCTGTGGAGCCACCCTCCGCAGGACTCGATGCGGTGTCTGGTGTCAACCAGAGTGCATGCCCTAGTGGGTGGGACAGTGAGCGGCCTGCCGTACAGTCCGGTGTGCTTCCTGGTGTGCTTCCTGGTGTGCGGCCCTGTGACCAGCTTCCTAGGGGGCAACCCTTCCCTTTCGTTCTCTCGTCCGGCGAGGTGATCAGCCACGGGGTAACTATGGTCTACGACTGTGAAGACCTGGTGCATCCTGTTCCCTGGTGCCCCTCTACCATCTGGGTTCCACGGGCGCAGTGTTTTGTCTCGGATGTGCCGAATTTGATGCCTCGGTCTATTGCGTCTCATGGATGTCCGATTCCTTAAGGTGACCAACTTCTTTGGGAAGCTTATTGCTTACGGTTTCCAGCTCGGGAGTGCCTGGAGAAGTATGAGTGATTGGTGTGTTTGGTTTCTGTCAGTGTTGTGCATCATATTTCCACGGTGCCTGCGTGCACGGGTGGGTGTCTTTGTCTGTGAGTGTGGGCGGTGTGGGTGTTGTTCTTGCCCATACGTGGCCTGTTTTGTTGTGCTTGCCTTTTATACGTGTTTGTGGTGTGGTTGTGTGCGCTTGTGGGTGTTTGGTGTTATTTCTTGCTTGTCATTGCGCGCACCCCGTGTTTTGTGTTGGGGTGGCGGGCGGTGTGGTTGTGTATGTTGCTTGTGTGCGTGTGTTTCTATTCTTGGCCTCGTGTATTGCTTTATTATTTATACTACATTACTGTTCTTTATGGTTTTTTTTTGAGATATATACAAGAGTTGTTACATTCTTGTACAGCCACTAGTACGTGTATCGTTTCGGGCAGGTCCCTGGAATACGATCCCAGCCACGAAGAATCGTTGTTACAACCAAGTACACATTTTACTGTTACATTAAACAGAGGCTACAGTTAAGGATTTGCGAACAGTAAATCCTCCCCGGCCAGGATACGAACCCATGACATAGCGCTCGCGGAACGCCAGGCGAGTGTCTTACCACTACACCACAGAGACTGTGCCTCCGTGCCTCCTCCGTAGAGACTGTATTTATGTTTGTATTTCACTGTTTATGTATTTTGCAGTTTTTCTGTCTTCTTATTTTTTGTTGTTTCCTGTAGTTTTGAACTTTTACCTCTGTGTCAATGGTTTCGGAGGGATGTTATTGTTATGTACTATTTTGCGCCTGTGTCTGGATTGGGCTGGGCTTGTTTGTGTGTTCTTTTTTTTGTATTTCTGTACTTACGATTTTGTGGATGTGATTATGTTTTGGTATGCTTGTGTGTAGATGTGATTCTTTCCTGGCTTCTGCGTGGGCCGTATAGTTTGCCCTGTGTGGCTTTGATTACTTTGTTCTGTTCGTTCTGGTGTGGGTGCTTGTTGCGCATCTGTCTTTATACCCTATTGTTCACCCTTTTTACTTTGTAGGGGTTTTTGTATTACTGTTCCTGTGTATTGGGTGTTCTTTTTGCCATTATTTACTGTTATTTGTGTCTTTCATGTGCCATGTGTTTTTGCCTTGTGCTGCTTATGTGGTTGTATACAACGTGTGTGTGCGTGTGCTTGGATTTATTATGTGTACATTAATTCTGTTATTTATGTTCTTCCCGTTTGTATTTCCCTGTTTATGTATTTGCTGTATTTCTATTTTCTTGTTTCCTGAAATTCTGTATATTGCCTCTGTCAGTAGTTTCGGAGGCCTGGTGTTGTTTTGTACTATTCTACACCTGTGTTTGTATTCGTGTGCCTATGTTTTATGTTATTTGTCTCTTGTGTACTTTATCTGTAACGTTTCTGTTTTATGTGGTCGTTCCCGTGCCCGTTTTAGGGTTTTCCCTTTTTGTTCTTTTTGTCCTGTGTTTATGTAATTGTTTCTTCATGATGTACTTTGTGTAATTCTTTTATAAAAATAAAAAATAAACTGCTGCCAGTTGGTCTTATTTAATTTCCAAATTATTGTATAATACATAAATCTCACACCAAACAGTTACCAATAGGTTATGTCTAACTGTAACTACAGTACAATACATACACATATAAACTCTCTCTCATTAACTCCCATTAGGGCCCACGTTATTCTCACCACGGGCCCATTAGGGCCCACGTCGGCCTGTGACACACACAGGCCGACGACGGTAGGAGACAAACACGATTAGTGAGGTCCGCAGAAATTCGTCAATTTCTCGGGACATTGAAGGAGTATAAAGGCTAGATCATAGTATTTGGCCTCTCACAGTGTGTATCTAGCAGGGTGCAACATAGCATAGTCATATCGCTAGCGATAGTGCGAAGAAACCAAAGTGGAGCTAGTGGCATCACCGGTGCATATAAGTGTGGAGGACCGCGTGGAGCGACCTGACCTGACGGCCAGGTGGGACGACCCGCCGTGGAACTACCTAATTGTGTTTGTTGGGTGGTGACTGTGATCAGTGGTAAAGTAAATTAGTGAATTGTAACACAACGATACAGTGACTG